CATCGTGGACATTGACCTTAAAACGCTTATATGGTGTTACAAATACAGGTGAATCCTCCTTATTACGTGCCACTTGTGGAAATAGTGCCAGCTCCGTGGACGCGTCCCGATATACCTACGAAGACGAAGACTATCATGATTGAGATCGGCCAGAAACCCGTGGTCCTCAATAAGGAGATCGATGGCTTTGCACTCAACAGAATACAGTATGTAATCGGACGTCTTGCTCGCGCAAGGCTCTTTCCGAACGATCGTTATCGTTCGACTGTCTCGTAACGCTTCATATAAAGAAGCCAAACCAACAGGTATGCAATTTTGAACGAAGCTTGGAGACTGGTGGCCGACGGAGTGCTAAGCGCAAAGGACATTGACGCAGTTATGAGCGAGGGACTCGGGATGCGCTACGCTTTCCTTGGAGCCTTCGAAGCCGCGCATTTGAACGCCGAAGGTGAGCTAGTCGTCGTCAAATCGACGATGTTACAAAAATTAAACGAAATTTTTGCACGGAGATGCAATTGACGTTGCGACACGCTGTCTTGTAGGAATGAAAAAGTACTGCGAGACATACAACAAGTCGATCTACGACACAAGCATGACTTTCGGGCCAGTGCCCAGATTCGTAGGCGAGACGGCGGAGAAGATTAGCGATGAATTGAACGAGATGTGCCCACTTGACAAATTGCAGGAGCGACGCGTATGGCGGGACACTGCTTTGACAAAGTTGTCCAGCCTCAAGAAAGAGTTAAATCAGATCAAAAAGTAAAACATTTATGTATCGTACACATCCGATTGATGTGTAAGCGCTGAAACTTTCATAAAATAGACTTATGTAATATATTAAGTTTCATCAGACTAAATGCAAAGAGTGTTATTGTTTCTACCGTAGAAATCAAACGCAGTTTTATTCTTAAACACGGATGCAGGAATCGACGTGCAAATTTGCCTATTTCGAAATGATTTCTTTAACTACGTAATGTGAAGAAACGAATGTCAAGTCGAATTATATATTTTACTTTATTTATACAGCTACAGCTTAACGTTTTCCTCCGACACGAGGCGCGGCTTTTTGCGTCACCTTGGCGACCTTCTGTTTTGACACTTGTTTCGTCTTCTGAGGAGCAACCGCCTTCTTCGTCGCTTTCGCGGCTCTCTTTTGCTCCTTCGCAGCTCTGAGAAAGGGAGAAAACGAGCGAATCAATCAGACGCTATTAGTGCGACACGATATTGGATAATGCTGTTGTCAAATGTACGAATCCGCAAAGGCCAGACAATGTAATTGAAGATACAGTTCCGGGTGAAGTAATTCAGTCTTATTCTAAGACATTCTGAAATCTGACAAAGTACAACAAACTTTGTCAGAGGAACAGACGTCTATCGCATGCAGTGTCTTCGAGTAGAGTAACATTTGCTACTTGATACTCCGCCACTTCCGAATTGTCTACAATTCTATGACAGAGATAATTGGAAAAAAATGCTCACTTAATCGCCTGCTCCCTCTGAGCCTTACGAATCTCTGGCTTCATGTTACGCTTGGCCAAGATGTCTGTGAGGGAGGCACCCACGATGGCACGCTGGAACTTCTGCGTACGCCTCGTCCTCTTCTTGGTCTGCTCCTCCTCCTGGCCCTTCTTGTGTTTACGTCTGAAAAAGCAATCGTGCCGCTGTTAAACGCATTTCACAAGTCGCTTGTGCTCATATACGTTGCGATGATCGTGTCTTTACCTGTACAACACGGTCCATGTCACTTTCCTAGGATTTCGCCTCATCAAGTGCGCGGACTCGCACTTGGAGTTGAGGAAAGTGAAAGTCTGCGGAAGCGGGGACAGCGATTAGTTGCGCCAGAATGTGCAATTCACGAGTAACGACGTGGACGCGAGACGCGTCGCGCTTTAGCGCCTCGCGATAATTTAGGAACGTAACGGAAGATACGATTTGGATGCCACTTGCATCGCCAGCACGGCGGTACTCACCTTTCCGTCGACTTTGACCATGGTCTTGCCATGGCCCGGATAGATCTTGTATCCGCTGTACGCGCACAGGCCGATCCTGGAAATATCACACGTAGATTAATATTGGACATCGCGCCGACGTAACGCGCCACGTTCCTGCCGCGAATGCAACAGGATCGCACTGGAAGCGTCGGATTTGCATCACGAGAACGAGAATCCGCAACTTACTTCATCTTGACAAGGCGCAGAGAAACGCGGAGAATCACAAATGGCCGATACCCCCGCAGATATCCTCGCACGCCGTGCTTACAGCGATTCACGCCAGAGTTCTCTCGGTTCTCCGTCTGAACGGCAGGGTGCGTTTTCATTGGTCAGGTGTATCGACATTTGGGTGCGTTTTCACCGTAGACTCGTATCAGAGGCCCCGATTTTTGAATTCATTCGAAGAAATACGAAAATTCTGCTCCGACAGAAAAGTTGAAAGTCGATTGGTTAAAGCCAACGCGAATAGCTAATCAACTTGCAACTTTTCTGTTGGAGCAGAATTTTCGCATACGTTTCTCCTTCGAATAAATTAAAGAGTCGAGCCCCAGAGGCTCTCCTTACGATCGAAGAATAATGAACTGTGATTGGTCAATTTCTTTCGACGCGACTTAAGCCCGTATCAGACTACGGATTGAGATTGAGATTAGATTAAAATTTGACCAATTAGAGTAAAACTTACTAAACTTGAGATTAATAAACTTTACTGTAATTGATCAAATTTCAATCTAATCCCAATCTCAATCCGTAGTCTGGGGTGCTTTCGCGACGTAGATCAAAATGATCCGAATCAAAATGATTCGTGCTATGATTGGTCAAATCTGAAATTTCGTAGCATCACATTGAAATTTTATTCAATGAAATTCCAGATTTGACCAATCATAGCACGGATCATTTTGATCTACGTCGCGAAAACACCCCTGATACGGGCTTTACGATGTCCAATGTAGACCCAGCCTAAAGCCCGTATCAGACTACGGATTGGGATTGGGATTAGATTGAAATTTAACCAATCACAGTAAAGTTTACTAATCTCAAGTTCAGTAACTTTTACTCTGATTGGTCAAATTTCAATCTAATCCCAATCTCAATCCATAAGTCTGATACGGGCTTAATGCTAAGCCCCAGTCTACAATAGACGATTTAAGCCCTAAAGCCTTAAGAAATTGACCAATCACGGCCAAGTATGAGTAGAATACGCGACTGTGATTAGTCAATTTCTTAAGTCCCAGCATTTTCTGACTTATAGCGTTTTCGATTTGCTGACTCGACCCGACTCAGTCAGAAAAGTTTGATCAAAAGTAAGATTTTTGCAGAAATTGTGGCTCAAATCTTGATTTTGATCAAACTTTTCTGACTCGGGGTCGGGTCGAGTCAGAAAATCGAAAACGCTATTAAATAAAATGATGGTATTGGTCGAGGGCAAGCTGGAACACATGGGACACGTGCACGAACAGACCTCGCCAGTAACGTCTAGTAACTTCTCCCCGAACGCTTGAAAACGCTTCTGCATTCGCTGATCTTCCGCGAGATTTCGTGATCTACCTAACCTACGTTGTAAATAATTGGTAAGTTACAGCTCCCGAGAGTAATATCCCATAATAAATAAATTTGGTAAGTTACGAATAAGATAGAAACAATAGACACTGACTCAAACACTGATTTCTGATTGTTTCTTGTAGCACGTGGGTAGTGTGTTTTGTCAGGAAGCCTGTTGTATGTCTGTGAGAATACAATGGTGATGGAGGAGTCAGATATGGAGCTAGCTTCGGAAAGTATACCGGTTCCCCAAGTGCAGGAATCAGTGGTCGACACGCTTAAGCGCAACAACAAGTCGGGTGCTTCGCGCGGTAAACCGAGGCTGAGAAAGAAAGCGTTGCATGCTTTGATACTCAAGCAAATGGAGTTCTATTTCAGCGACGCTAATTTGAGCAAGGATCGCTACCTGTCGGGACTTTTGAAGGAAAGCTCCTGTAAGTATTTCTTTCCTGTGTCTTCGATTTCAAAGATCAACGATGAGATTAATTTTGTTAACGTCATATATAATGTATATATATATGTATTACAATATATATATATACATTATACAGGGTGAGTCTTTCCATATCCGACAAAATTTTTGAGAAGGTAGAACGGATCGAGATGAACGGAAAAGTCTTGTACCATTTTGCAATTTTCGTAATAGTTAATGAGTAATTAATTATTAAACATCGTTGTCTTAGGCCGGCCTACCGCCCAATTCGAGCGCGTAGCAAGATGTGACCGCCTGGCGATCG